TTCTCTTCTCCAGGCTGAACAGCCCCAGCTCCCTCAGCCTGTCTCCATAGCAGAGCTGCTCCAGCTCTCAGATCATCTTTGTGGCCCTTCCCTGGACCCTCTCCAACAGCTCTGTGTCCTTCCTGTGATGGGGGCTCCAGCACAGTCCTCCCCTGCTTCCCAACGGGGTCTTGCCCATGGGAGAGAGTCCTTCACGAGCTTCCCTGACATGAGTCCTTCCCACGAGGTCTCTCAGGAGCTGATCCCCCGTGGGCTGCCCACAGGAGTCACAGGCTTCTTCAGGAACAGCCACCTCCCCTTGTGCAGGGTTCTCCAGGGCTGCAGATTCAGGCAGTCCAGGGGCTGCACCTCCACACTCACCCCTCCGTGCCCCACCACCCGTGGGTGCAGGGGCACAGCTGCCATCTCTCTGTGGGCTGCAGGGGAGCTTCTGCTTGGGCACCTCCTGCCCCTTCCTCCTCACCAACCTCGGGATCTCCACCCTCTGCTGTCAGATCTTGTGTCAGTTCGTTCATCTGATTGCAGAAGCAATTAGAGAGTTTAACAACGAGGTTAGATTAGAAGGTTTAACGACCAGGTCTAACGACCTGCCCTTGGCCACCTCAGCCAGGGGAACTTTTAATAGCTTCTTACAGGAGTCACCACTGGGGCCCCTCTACCAATCCCAGGACCAAACCAGCACCCCCCCATTTCACCTCTCAAACCCCTCCAGGTTTTGTCACCTCAGCTGAGGATCCGATGCCATCGCTGGGACCAGAAGCAGAGACTGCCCGCATCAAATACGTGCACGTGAGTGTGTGTGTCCCCCTTACCAGCCTGGGGTTCCGCAGGACTGTCCCTGACCCTTCCCACCTGTGCCTCCCCTCCCAGATCCACATGCCAGACAGCCTGGAGTACCAGCCTGTGGCCTGTGCCATCGTGGTCAATGCCGCCGGTGCCTGGGCCGGGGAGCTGCTGCAGGCCAGGGGGCTGCCTGGGGGGCTGCGCCAGCCCCCCCTGCCCATCCAGCCCCGGAAGAGGTGCAGGAATGGGGAGGGATTTGGGGAAGGGAGGGGGAATGTCCTGGCATCACCACTTGTTTTGAGGTGACCCTCAGGGCCTTGAGGGGTAGTCGCAGTGTGGTGGATGTAGCCCGGCACTCTTTTATCTGTGGGGATGGAAAACATTGGTGTTTTTTTGGAGGGAAGGAGAATCACATGCTGGCACCCCCACCCCTCTATGCTCAAACTGGGGAGGTCAACCCCTTCATCCTTTTTTGTGGGAGGTTCACCTCCTGGTACTACCTCCCACTCCTCTGAGGGTGAGGGTTGAACTTCTCAGTGCTTTATTTTCGGGAGGTGGGTAAAGTCCTGGGACCCCCTGGATCTTCAAGCCGGGGGGGGGGTTAACCCCTTAATCCTTTCCTTTTTAGGGGGATGAACCCCTGGGTGCTTTTTTTTGAGGGGTGGAGCACCCCTCCACCTTCATGGGTGGTGGGGGAGAACCCCTTAATCCTTTTTATTTGGGGGGATTAACACCTCTGTGCTTTTCTTTTTGGGAGGCACTCACATCCCAGCACCCCCAGCGCCTCTATCTGCAGGGTGGGGCATGAACCCCTTAATCCTTTTTCCTGGGGGGTGGAGGAGCCACATTCCATTACCCCCCCACCTCCAGTCTCATGAGGACCAACCCCTCAACGCTGTGTTTTTTTGGGAGAACACCTCCTTCTCCAGCCCCTAGACCTCCCGACCTTTGGGAAGGGGGGAGGGTCAGCCCTCTATTTTTGGGGGGTGCCCCACAGATACGTCTTCTCCTGGCACTGCCCCGACGGCCCCGGCCTCTCCTGCCCCTTCCTCATCGACACCACCGGCGCTTATTTCCGCCGTGATGGCA